AACCACACAAAAGGCAAAACCAACTCGGTCTTCATATCTTCGATCAATCCCAAATTGTTTTTAAGCCTTTTTTAAAAGGTTTCTTTAATGATTATCGCTATCGCTCAAAGTAAAATCGGGGACTAAAAAGTGTCATAGCAAAAAAGACAAAAGCAATATCCACATGAAGTAGAATTCAATAGGCCTTCCTATTGTACTAGATTTCTCAAAGTAGGCATCTTTTAGGTAGACGGGAAAGAATCACTGATATAAAAGAGTCCAATGTCTTCTCCATGCACGTCAAATAATCCTTTGTATTCGAAAAAGCAGATTTGGGCTACAAGCCGAATAACATGAAACAAAAAGGAGTTTCTCCCACCTCGATATCATAAAAATTATAATAAATTGGCATGAAGCGAAAAAAACCAGGAATGTATAATGAGTCAATTAAACTAATTTACCATCAACGAGGTGTACATAGCGGCATTCTCTATTGCGGTGGCACTTTCCAGCCTTGAAGTCACGGCAAATAGGAAGGGTCTCTAAAAGCTGAAAAGAAAGGGAGGTCATGTGTGACTTCAATGATAAATTAAATTAATAACAATAAAACATTTTAAACTAGCGAAGCATGGCGAGTAAAATGCCCCAAGAATAAAGTTTCTCAATAAGATTTGGACATCAGAAGTAAATGGGTTTCGATAAATCTCCTGATATAAAATTGCTGGAGCTTCATTTCGTCTGAAAGTGCATGGAGAGGTTCGTAGGTTGATTTCACATTAAGACGACAGCTGAATCCCATTGTATTGCAACCGTTTGGCTTTAATACGACGTTCAGGTTGACACAGTCCAGGAGACATCCTTCATCGTCACGGGTGAAACTGGGCTGAGCGAGATAGACGAAAGCTCAGTCTGTTCTATGGGATGTATTCACCCTATTTCGTTTAATGCGATGAATTACTGGTGGAATAATTTTCCCACAATGATATGAGTAGTGCTAATGTTTCCATTGAATTTCACATTGTCTTGATTTCCCAAAAGTTGTTCTCATCCAGAGTGGACTGCAGTTTCGTCCTCGCCTAGGCCTTATCAACACCCACAGCAGGAGTCGAACCGTGAAAATAATTCATCACCTTAAACAAAATAGGATCAATACATCTCATATAACTGATTTACTAGTAGTCTCGAAACTCTGCTCATATATGAAAAATAAGTAACAGTCGATTGTTATAGCAAAAATACGTTTGCTTCATCGACAATCTCACCAAAGAATGTGATATCGGAGTAGGCCTGGCCTTCCTTGAAATTCATATCTTTGAAATGGAATGGAAACGTCAGTTTAACTCATATCATTGTGGGAAAATTCTACTACCAGTCCTTCATCACCTTTAACGAAATAGGGTGAATACAT